TCTGCCTCCCAGGTTCTACTGGCAGGATGGCTAGTCTCCTTGGCGCTCAGGAGTTCTGTCTAGTAGAACCCCACATGGCAGCCTGTCAGAGCGCTGTGTCCATTTACATCTCCCATCGTTACTGCGCCACCTATACCACTTCCTACCATATTTCCTAGGGGGCATTAGAGTACAGGTATATCCCACTTCAAACATCCAATATATGGAAATTTGGGAGTACTAAACACACACATTTGAGGATAATTATACAACTTCACTAAAAGATAGTGGGAAAAAGTGCCAAACTAAAGTCAGATAACCTGAATTTCATTCTTGGTTTTTAGTAAAACTACCTGTGTGACCTTAGGCAAATCACTTAAGCTCTCTGGACTTTAGTTTCTACATTTGCAAAATATGTCCAATGGATATCTCTTAGGTTTCTTCCAGCTTTTCTGCTCAGGGGGTTGGAAGTTATGAAAACAAAGGAACATTCAGGAAAAATTCATTTGTCAAAAATTTGAGCTACATAACTTCGGAAATGTGTATTGCTTTAAAAATCAATGTCATGATTCCTAGAGCATCTGCTAGGTGCCAAGCAGCATATACACCATCTCCAAACCAACTACTGTCTGCAAGATCAATCTCTTTTTTTATAGAAAGAAAACAGATTCCAGAGGTATGTGATTTGCTCAAGGCCAACAGCAAATAAAGTGCCTAGAGCAGGCTCTGAAACCCACTCAGGCTGACTCCACGAACCTCACTGTTCCACTGCACAGTTCCACCCCCGTCAAGGCTGGTATGGTCCAAAGCAAGGGGAGACATGGGGTCTGGCTCCCAAACAGTAGAGTCTGGGCCCTGCCTTATCCCAAGGAGTGAAGGAGGGGGGCGGCCTGGACACTGCTCCAGCCCAGGCTGATCTGGGCCTGCCAGCATCTGTCTGCCAGAGTCTCGTTTGCATATAAATGGCTTCTCTGAAATACAATTATGGTTTCTCTTTTCTCTGTAATGGAAGGGCTTTCACTGGTAATTAAACAGCTTCCTCCAAAAGCCTGCCAGCTCTCATGCTGCGGGCCAGCTAGTCCCACCCTGGTTCCCAGAGGGTCAGGCAAAGGCTCTGCTGTGTCCTAATGGACGCTTGGGACTTTGTCTCAGGAGGTCAGTTACCCACATGGAGGCTGAGCTCTCAGCTGCCAACTCAGTTCTTTGACCACTTGTTGCTCTTTTTGGAGAGACCTGTCCCTCAAGGAGAAGATATAAGTACAGTTTTCAGGGGAGGTAATCCCCCAAAGGCAACGGGGGGAAGGGGCCGGCCCCCAAACGGGAAAACAAAAGGCCCAACCCGCCGCCCAAAAACAAGGGCCAGGCCTTGGGGCACAGGACAGACAGGGGAGGGCGACTACTCACTGCCTCCCCTTTCCATTGCCCCAGGGTCTGTAACCTTTCCTCAGGCCCTTTGCTCTATTCTGGGGGCCTACATGCTCACTATCAATTCAGCCTTATCTCAGACCTGCAGATGAAAGATGGCCCCACACCCTGACACACACCCAGGCTTGAGGGCACTCCACCCTAAGTGGGAAGGGAAGGATGGAGTTAAGGGCCTGTTTTTTTCTTCCCATCCCTTTCCTCTTTAGTTTCCCCATTCTCCTTGCTTTCTCACTGAAGGCCTAGTGCAATGGGTCCAGCAAAACCCTCCTTGGAAAAAAAAAAGGGGAAGCAAGTGGTGGTTTGCCAGCCTCAACTCAAGGGTAGAGCCTCACAAAGAACAGCCCCCTTGCCAGTCCTGCCTCTCACCAGCTTCAGAGCCCTGCACATGTCCTTCCAGGGGCTCTGACCAGCAGGAGCAAGTCCTCAGGCTTCAGGGCTCTCCCAAGGATTGTTTCTCTGTTGCCCGTGTGTGCATTTTAGACCTGGGGCCTGGCCGACCAGGCTGGTGGTAGTTTGAACAGACGTTCTTGCTGGGAGCCGGCCAGAGCTCAGCAGCATGGTCCTCATCTTGTGGGCAGGGCTGGGCACTAATGCTGATTTCCTGGATTGTGGTCGGGAGATGGGAGAGGCAGTGAAGCATGTCCTCTCTGAGGAAGGGAATGGAGCGGCAGCCTGGTGATGATGTCATCCCAGGCAGAAGAGCTGGATAGATGGGTGGGGCGGGGAGGAGGAGGGGGTTGGGGGATTGGCCCAAGGCCCGGTTAGCAGGAGGGTGAAGGGATGTCCTCTGGGACCAGGCAGCTGGGTGTTCCCAGATTCGGAGGGATGCCCAGAGCAGCTCACCCCCTCCCCCAAATCATTGCAAGAGAGAATCCCAACCAAGAGTCACTTGGTTGTTACATCTGGCCACCCACTGTCCTGCCAAGAGTGTCTGTTCATGAGTCACCAGAAGCTCCCCCTACACAGGTGTTCTCCCCCACAGCTCCAGGAGGGGGAGGATAAACTGGCCCTAGCTGGGGGGCGGGAGAGACTGGATCCCATGGTTGGGGGGTGGTGCTGATAGCTTGTTTCCACCTGCACACACCCTGTACACTCACCACACACACATTCTTGGCACACCCAGTGCCCTCACCACAAAGCCAATGCCTGCTGCCGCCTACTCACAAAATCTCCTCCATCTCCTCCCCGTCTGCCATCTCAGCGGCCTTGGAAGAACCACTGCCAGGGTGGGGGGAGTGAGGGTGGGATGGGTGGGTATAGGGCCTGGAGAGGGCCCTGGCTCAACAGGGTCTCCCTTCCTTTTCCCAGGAGCAGTCAGGGTTTCATGCACATGAAGCTGTCGCGGACCAAGGAACACAAGTACGTGCTGGGCCAGAACAGCCCGCCCTTCAGCAGCGTCCCTGAAATCGTGCACCACTACGCCAGCCGCAAGCTGCCCATCAAGGGCGCGGAGCACATGTCCCTGCTCTACCCCGTGGCCATCCGGACTCTGTAGGGGTGAGGCCCGGGCCTTGTGACAGATCTGGACCCAGCCCTGGGCGACCACTCCAGCCTTTCTTCCCCTCTTCCAGGAATCGAGTGGAAGCTGTGATATTCCTTAATTTATTCTAAAGGGGAAGGGCTACAGGGACCTTGGAGTTAAAGGTGGTCGAAAGCTGAGGATTGAAGACTCCCTGGGGAGAAAGGATAGCCCCTGGAGGAAGGAGACTTCAGAATTACTGATCTTCCGAGGGGTTTAAGATCGACAGCTCCAGCCCCTTTCTTCCCCTAGAGCAGAGGTGGAGACCCCTTTCCCCGCCATCCTCTTCCCCCTGGGGTGGAAGGGTGGATGCGGGATGGAGCTGGACGTGGGCCAACAGGGAGGCCTGGCCATCTCTCCGCCTCCACTCCCAAACCACCGGCGGGATTTCACCCAGAATCTGGTGCAGGGCTTCGGGTAGACCGACCCCTGGGGTGGAGACAGCATTGGGGGTAGGGAAGGAGGGGAAGGGCTCGGCCGCCGGGAACTTGTGCAGGCCCCGGGCCGCCCCGGCTCTGGGCCAGAGGCAATAAATAAATTCCGTCCTGCCAGGCACAGCCGCGTCCGCGCCTCCAGCGCCGCCGCCGCCCTCCGGGCGGACGGGGGAGGGAGCGGAGCGAGCACAGATTCTGTTTATAAATTAGCTCTGGAGCAGCAGGCGCGGGGCGTCTGTGAAAGGCAGTTTCGAAGCATCAAGTTCCTTCCTTTGACGAGATGTCAAAACATCCCCCGGGGCCCTCACCCCCGCCCCGGCTGGGAGAGGGGGCACCCGGATCCCGGCCGGCCGCGCGGCGCCCGCTCCCCGCCGCCGGGACGAGCGCGGCTCCCTGAGAGCGCGTCTAATTTCCTGCCAACAGCCATTTGTCTGGGAGGAGGGGAGCCACGGAGAGACAAAGAGGCAGCGCGCCAGGCGGGAGGGAGCGGGGCGGCCCTGCCACGCGGAAGCCGCGCGCCGGCGGAGGCGGGAAGGCTGGCGCGGCCGACCGCGTTTCCTCTCCAGAGGAAGCGAGGGCCTGCCGCGCCTCACCCGGCCACGGGTCGCTGGGTCGGGTCCCAAGACCTGCAGGCGGCCGGTCCCAGGCGGAATCTCCCTCGCGGCTGCGGCGCCCGGCGGGGTCGTCCGCGCGCGCCCCCTGCTGGCCGCGCCTCCACGAGCCGGGCTAAACCTCCCACGGCCCTGGCGGCCCAGCAGCAGCAACCCGCCCCAGGATACCACTAGGCCGCCAGGCGGAGCTGCTGTCAAGCCACTGCAGGCCCGCCCTCCCGCTCCCAAGGGCCAGCTGGGCAGAAACTCCTGAGGACAGGCTGAACTAACACCCTGGGGACGGCTGCCCTAAGGGGGCAGCCTGAGAACCGCCCCCCGCCCCACCCACAACCGACACCTGCAGCTCCCAAGCGTGGTGTGAAGCAGGGGAATTTGGATTTTCTAACCCAGTGGTTGAATTTATCAAAATTTATCAAAATCGAGGATCTGTGATCAGCCAAATTCAAGAATTCTGCGGGGACAGTGGAAAGGATCACTTGAAATTGAGTCCTGCTTCAGAAATTTGCTCAGAGAGGTTGCCCTATCCTGAAGTAGACTTGGAGGGCATTCAGTTATTTTGCATATTAGAAAACAGGCCCAAAGACGTTAGGTGATGGGCGCATGTCTCCTCACTGCCATCTCACTCCATAGGAGACTCATGTGGGCACAGGTGCTCAACCCTTCCACTGCTCAGAGAAGAGCTGGGAGTAACTGAGGTCTTGGAGCAAGTCAGGTGACCTCTCTGTAGGTGGCTCTCTGCAGATTGCTGCGGTGTCCTGCTACACTGCTTCCCACTCTGTGCCCAGCCCAGCTTCTCTAGAAGCCCCACGCCTCCACCTGTCCCTCCTGACTAGGCTCAGAAGCCCCACCCCACCTGCCCTGAGAGGCCTTCTGTCACGAAAGGTGCCGCTGATCAGTGAAAGGGGTCTCTAGCCGAGGCAGGTGGCCTTGGAGGGGTTCCCTTATTCAGTGGGTGCTGGCAAGCTCAGAGACAATGTCTGGGTGGCTCTTCTTCCAGTACCTACCCCATTCTGGAGCAGAATAAAGAAACCCTTAGGGCAGAAAAGTGGTTTATTTATAAAAGAGACTATTAGAACAGGAAGAGGGGAGGAGAGTGGAGGAGCACCCAAACATGTTGGGCCAGGTTCTGACGACAGTACATGTTTAAAAACTTGGGGAAACGATCAATTGTACTGTTGGAATGGGGTCCTCTGGGGGGGGGGTTCCTGTAAATTGCTCTCTGTGGCTCTACCATCTCTAAGGCATTTGCCAGCCCTTTTGACAGTGGAGAGCTCAAAGGAGAGGAGATTTGAGGAGTGGGGAGGGGTTTTAGGATGCCAGAATCTATCTGTGCTCCCACTTAATCCCTAAGCTCACAGCCCCTGCACACACACACAATTTGTCTGCTCCAGCCTTTTGATTTTTTCCCTTATTTTGGAAGAAGAGGTGTCACTTTGCTGCAAAACAATAATAGATCTCCTAGCTCCCAACTTTTAGTCGTTACACAGTGCCTTGCATTTCCCTAGGCTGAGACATTCTGGGCCTGGGAGTCCCTGAACCCACATGGGGTGACTGACCATGGCCACCTGGACCAAGGTTGGGAGGTAAAAATGGGGAGATGGCTGAGGAAGCCAGAAACAGGAAATCTAGAGGTGAGGTGTCAGGCCAAACCTCTGCTCATCTAGACAGTGGGCAGAGCCCCTGAGCAGGAAGCCTAGAAGTTCTCATAATGGTGGGAGAAATGAGTTCCATCCTGCCTGTTGATGAGCTGACAAGCCTTTTCTACATTCTTGGTCATGCCAGGGGGGCCGCAGCTGAACACCCCAATCTTCCGGACCTGTTGGAGAAAGAAGTGGAGGCCAGCTCAGTGTTTAGAGGGAGTGTCTAGCTCAGTGTCTAACTCCAGGTTTGTGTGAAAGACCAGCAGGAGTTCTTGGTGAGGACTCATTCCATGATCCTGTGAAGGTTTACTCCATACTGTTCATGATGAGGACTGGTTCAGGGTTTATAAATCTCGCTGAGTTTTGGAAGACTTGTTCTCCGTGGGGCCAGCCTTTACTCTTTTCCAAGGCATTTGCTAGCCTCAAGTGTAAGCCCAGTGTTTGTCTGGATAGTATTAATGGTAAGGGTAGCTCTGAGTTTATGGTGAGGACCAGCTCCACCACTGAGCCCTTCCTTCGGGACAAGGCATCATGGCTTCAGAAGTAGCAAGTTCCTGCTGACTGCTTCCTGCCTTTGCCTCTGAGTGACCTGCACCTCTCTTTTTCCATTCCATCACCCCACCAGACTCCTCAGGGATCAGTCCTCCTCCCTTGATGAAGCAGGTTTGGGAACTTTGCTCAGACCTCAAATGATAAAGGTGAAGAAAACCTCAATGTGGGGTGAGAACTGACCTGTGGATGGACCTTCTGCAGAGAGTTGAAGAATGCCTCGAAGGGGGGGCGGCCAAAGTGGGTGATGGAGCGCAAGCCTGTGAACAGACTCCGGTTCAGCACCTTCTGGAAGTGCCGCTCACAGATGTACTGGGGGAGGAAGCAGAGGAGAAAGGTCATGGCCAGCAGATTCAGGGTCAGCTCCTCATCCAGAGGCTGGTCCACCCACCCGCCTTGGCCATCCTGGCTTGCCCTGCCCACCCACACACCCACAAAGCCACTCCTTGGTTGACCCTGACGCACCAGCATGGTGGTCCTGAGGTCGAATTTCTCAGCCAGCTGGGTGATGTAGATGTGCACGGACACCAGGTCCTGGCGGTCATTCTCCTCCACCTCTCGGATGATATCAGCCAGCCATTCAAACTGCCGTTGGGTCCGAGTCACCCAGATGAAGTAGATCTGGGGAAACAGTGCTGGAGCTTGGGACCCAGCTCGTCTCAGAGTCCCTACCTCCCAGGAATCACCACTCCTTCTGGTCTCAGAGCAGCTTGTGCCTCTCCCCAGGCAGCCAGGGGGAGTGAGTGTCTGTGGCCATGCTCTGAGGGGGGAGATGGAGTTGCCCCAGGGCATGGAGAAGCGGAAGTGAGCAATAGCCTGGGGCTGTGAGAAAGGACCCCGTCAAGTGAGCTGAAGGTCTGGTGGGGTGGGAGGCAGCCTTCCCTTCCACTCCGTCCAGTGGGCCCTGTTCAAGCTGCTAGGCTCCCAGCCTACAGGCTGCCTGAGGGGAGGGGGACCCGCTAAGAGGTGTGTCACAGAACGGCCTCTGGGAAGACTGCGTTGGCTGCCTGGAGTGGATGGGCATGGGCTCAAAGAGAGATCAGGGGGGATTTCCCAGTGGCCCAGTGGCTAAGACTCCATGCTCCTAATATAGGGAGCCCGGGTTCAATCGCTGGTCAGGGAACTGGATCCCTCATGCTGCAACTGAGTTCTCAAGCTGCAACTAAGACCTGGTGTAGCCAAATAAATAAATACTAAAATCAGGAAATATACCAGGGGCCTGGATGCTGTCCTGCGGGACCCATCTCCAGCTTCTGAAGGGGAGAAATGGGGTTGTGTGAGTTAAGGAGCAGACACAGAGCTGGCATAAACAGAGGAGCCAGGTAGCTGTCTGTCACCCTCTGAGTGCTGACAGCATACGGGCTGGGCCTCTGCCCGCTGCATTCTTGCACCCCTGACTCACCTGCCGGGCCCAGAGAGACAAGCAGAGGCCCGCCACCAGGGCTAGACTCAGGTGAAGGGGCCTGGTATGGAGGGGCCTGAGGGCCTTGGCTGTGTTACTGGAGCCGACCAGGCCCACCAGCCCTGCCTTGAAGCCTCTCCTATTTCTCTTGAGAGCAGGGCCAGTTTCACCGGTGCCTCACCCCAAGAGTGCCCTTCCCTCTCCCAACCCAACACTGCTTGAGGGGCGGGCCCCCTCTCCAACCCTGGCTGGAGTGACTCTCAGAAGCAGATTCTATGTGGGGCACCCCATAACTGAGGGAAGAGCCTGCAGGCATCAGCAAAACCACTCTGTCCTTTAGGGTCCAGGAATAGCCTGACTATGCTGTGTGCTGCGGTCCATGGGGTTGCAAAGAGTTGGACACGACTGAGCTACTGAACCACAACACTATCCTGACTCCCTTGGGTCAGGCCAGCTCAGCCTTGCCTAGGACAGGGAGGCCAAGAACAGAGGCAGGGGACAGGCATGGATGGACACAGTGACAGGGAGCAGGGGACCACAGCTGGTGGGAGGAGGGGACACTCACCTTCTTACAGAACACTTGGCAGCTGACTGATGACTTGAAGACCAGGTCTTTGAGGATGGAGGCAAAGGGGGTGACCCCAATGCCCCCTCCCACCAGCACTGACACCTCAAACTTATGCCACTCCTGGTGGCCCTCTCCAAATGGCCCATCGAGGTACAGCTGCAGGAAAGGGAGTGGGTTAGAGTTGAGTTCGGCTACCACCACAGTTCTGAAGCCAGAAATGGGAGGCAGGGAAATGCAGGTAGGTTTATGCAGTGAGGGAGAAGTGGGAGCCTTGAAGCATCATCTGGAAGAATCAATCTCTCAAGGAGGAACACAGTGGGGAGTCTGGTGCTGCAGGACCAACGCCTGCTCAGGGGATGTGGGAGCGTGTGGTATGCCTGGTCTGGGTCTGGGCACCTTTGGATATTTGGCACAGCTGTCACCCGTCGGGGGTGAGTAGATCTCCCTGAGATGGGTGGTCCAGGGCCCCGCTGCCCGGATGTGCAGGCTAAGCGTCTCCTCGTGGGGCGCTGACGTCAGTGTGAAGGGGTGGTACTCGGTGGTCCCCAGAGCCAGGCAGGCGATCCGCACCCACTGTCCTGACTTGTACTCAAAGCCTTGGGGCCGCTGGAACTCCAGGTGGGTCACTCCTGAGGAGGGGAGGTGGGCAGTAGCCCGCTGTTCTGAATCCGGCAACAGTGGGGCCCCCCAAGAGCTCCCCCACCTGCGGCCTCAGCTCTGCTTTTGGAATATGACAAAGGAGGCCTCCCCTCATCAGAAGTCACAACACCCCCTCAGGCCGTGTCTACCCTGAGCAGGGTTTGGGCAGCACTGGGGCTGGTGGGCAGCAGGAAGAGGAGCAGCCTGGCCCAGGCTCCTCCTCTCTCTAGTGTGAGAGTGGCTCAAATCCCCTGGCAAAGAGCCTCTTGTACTCACTCCCTCATCCCTACTACCTCAAGGGCCCGCTAACTCCACTGGGCCAGGCTCTGCCCTGCCCTGTCAGCATCCAGAGAGCAACCAGCCTGCTCCCCCGACAGCCTTTAGGCTGGTACCTGAAGGCAGCAGCTCTGCCTTCACCACGCTGATCTCCACCTTCTTCCGGCTCAGGCTCACCAGCTTGTCCCCCACATAGATAAGTGCTGGGACCAGGAAGAAGATGTGGAAACGGGGTAGCTGGATCAGGGCGAAGCTGCCATGGATGATGAGCTGGAGAGAGCAAAGAGTACAGCTGAGATCGAAGCCACACCCACAACAGGGTCTGACCCCTGCATCCTTCCCCAACTGGCCTATCCAATCCCCACCTCATCAGGTGCAATGCTCCTTCCAGGCTCCAAAACCTAACCACTCCCAACCCATCCTCCATAGCATCCATCTGCATCTTCCTGACGCCATCCACCTGCACTCAGGCAGTAGCTCCTAACTTTCCGCAGGTTGCCCTACTGTGATGCGTTCTTTCCAGGACGGTCAGTATGACTTTTTAAAGTTCCTTTTATCATGTCATCCTAGCTCAGAAAAGCTTAGAGGGCTTCCCACTTCACCACAAGGCCTTGCGATGCTCTGTCTTCTGCCTGGCAGCATTTCCTGCTCCCTGTTTTTCAAACACAAGTCCTTTCTATTTCTGGACTTTCCACCTGTTGCTCCCTCTGGCGGGAAGGCCTTTCCCCAGTTCCTCCCACCACCTCATTTTTCTGGTCTCAGCAGAAACGCCACCTCCTCAGGCCTTCTCCCTTCCCCCAGCACACTCTATCCCATCTCCCTGTTAACCCCATTCAGAGCACTGCTGTCATCTGTGATATTTGTGTTCCTTCATCCACGGACATGTTTACTGTTGTTCTCCCCACTGGACTGCAGAAGTAGGGACTGCATCCATTTTCCACGACACTCTCAGCTCCCAGCAGTTTCTGACTGGCACATGGTAGGCACTCAATAACTAGTGAGTCAGTGGAAGGGGTTTCCCCAATTTACCCACTTCCTTTGGAGACTACGACACCTAGTCAGTCCTCTTTTTCCATGAAGTAACTAACAGGTATTGTCCAACTCTGGTTCTTTCCCCAACCAGCTGGTCTAACGTGGTCAGACACGACTTGCCCCATTCTTTCCACTTGCTTTGTTTGAGTCTGGTCAGTCTGGCTCCCACCTCCACCTCTTCTCAGGACCTGCTCACAGCAGACTCACAGTGGCCAGTCCCCAAGGCCTCCCTTTAGATGGCATTCACTCCCACCCTCCACAGCCCATGGCTCTAGTGAGCATCCCTGCCTTGCCTCTTTAGCAACAATGCCCTGCTGGTTTTCCCTCTTTCCCTCTCTGACTGTTCACTTTCTATCTCCTGCACTGGTTCTGCTCCTCCCAACTCCTAATCCTGTGTGTTGCTCAATCCCGATTTCTTCACCCTCTGCTCTTCTCCTACAATCTCCCACACAGCATGGCCTCTCAGCCCTTCAGCCTCAAATATTCTATTGTCATTCCCACTTCTCCACCAGCGCTCCTGCCTTTCTTCTTTTTTTTTCCCTCGATCAGGGATTGAACCCAGACCTTGGACCCTTGGCAGTGAAAGTGCAGAGTCCTAAGCCCTGGACTGCTAGGGCATTCCCTCATAGGTGCCCTTCCTTCCACCTAGAACGCTCAGTTCCCACTCTGTCCTATCAAACCTTAGCTTATCTCTCCTTCAGGCTTAGCCCAAGTTCCATCTTCTGTGTGAAGTCTTCCCTAACCAGTTTGGCCCAAATGAGGCTCCCTTCAATGAGCTCTTGTAACTGACTGACTGGAACATTCAGCTCAGCAATTAATCCCATATTATCTGGTCATTTTGGTCACTGCACATGCATGGCACTAATCTCCGCAGCTAATCCTCAATTTCCGAGGGCAGGGCTTAGAGTCTCCCCCTCCTCTGCTGGGCCTGTGTGTGTGTTGGTCACTCAGTCATGTCCGACTCTTTGCGACCCCATGGACTGTAGCCTACCAGGCTCCTCTGCCCATGGAATTCTCCAGGGAAGAATACTGGAGTGGGTTGCCATTTCCTTCTCCAGGGATCGAACCCAGGTCTCCTGCATTGCAGGCAGCTTGTTTATGGAGCAAGTATATCCTAGGCCCTCAACAGATAACGGTTCAAGTGAACTCGGTTCCTCATTCAGCTCTCCACTCCCCCAGCTGAGTGTTCCCCAATTCTTGAACCTCTCCCCACAGAGCTAACTCGAACCTCTTTGGGCTCTGAGTCGGCTCCAGTTTTCCCAAGATCCTCTTTCATTAAGGAGCCCACGCCCACCCCTGAGGCTTTCTGAGCGTCTACCGACTGAGAACAATGGATGACTTCATACTCCTCTGTTTATACACCTTGCTTGGTGTTGGCTCTACCTTGAAACCACAAAGCTGCTGCAGAGTCATGGTTGATCAAGGAGCCTGGGGAACAGCCTGCCAGCTCAGCTTCTGCTGCACTAGCTCCAGCCTCTACAGCCTGAATCAGCAGCCTAGACACCTTTGCCCAGGGTCTGCTCCACACTGGGGTCATTTACTTGCAATTTCTCTTTCTGCCTGAGGGCAAGTGGCCACATCTGAGATAAATGGAGAGGCAGCTGGTGCTTTGTGTCTGCATGCTAAGCTGCTTTAGTTACGTCCAACTCTTTGGACCCTATGAACCATAGCCCACCAAGCTCCTCTGTCTGTGGGATTCTCCAGGCAAGAATACTGGAGTGGGTTGCCAGGAGATCTTCCATGACCCAGGGATCAAACCTAGGTCTCTTATGTCTCCTGAGTTGGCAGGCAGGTTCTTTACCACTAGTGCCACCTGGGAAACCCTGCGATGCTCCCAGGCTGCCAGTTCTAGGACTTCCCAGCTGAGGGGCCTGTACCTTGCTTAGCTGCTGACTTCCCTGTTGGCTTCCCCAGTGATCCCCAAAACCCAGGGACAAATCAGAAACCAGTTTTGCTCTCAGAGAGCCAGGCTGGCCATTCTTCTGGATCTAGTTTTTTTTTTTTTTAAAGCTGCTTTGTCAGCAGAAACAAAACTATCATCTCCACCCCTAATAGTAACAGTAACCCAGATTCTAGGGCTCTACCCATTATCAAGAAATTGGTGAGGGAGGCATAAATTAGCCACAGCTTCCAAAGAAACAAACTCCATGAGTTCTCGGAAACATCTAAGCTGAGGCTGGGTATTTATCTCCAGAACCTTGAAGTGCTGAGCCTCAGGCAAGATGGAACCAGACATTCTTATCTCCCAGTGAAGACAGAGCTGCACCTGGGAGGGGGCAAGGCGGACAACCAGTGCCATCCAGGCCCTTTGTCTTGGGACAAAGAGGACCCCTGTGTGCAGTTGTGTTTGGAGCCAGGTGACAGAGAGGGCAGCCGTGTGTGAGCTCTGCACTTCTTGAATCCTGGCAAACAGGCTGTCACCAGTGGGGACGTCAGAGCTTTGGGACTTGGTTTACCCTCTCAGCAAGGCCCTAACAGTACCCTTTGGGGAAATGCCTGTGTCTGTGAGGAAGGCAGGCCAAGCAGAGCCATGCCATAGCGGCACAGATCAGAGTCATCTCTGGAAACAGCCACTGAAGTAACAGAGAGCAAACCCAGGGGAAGAGGGAAAGGGAAAAGGAAGGAGGGAGGCAGGGAATCTGAAGGAAGGGAGGCAGGAGCCTAGGATAAGAAGGAAAGGGGAGAGGTGGAGTCTCAAAATCCACTTAATCAACAATCCAAGGAGACATTTTGAGCAAGTTCATTGACATTACAGGTGGCACTTAGCTACCTGGATGGGGTAGCTAACACCCCAGAAAACTGGATCAGAACAAAAATGGCAGAACGTACTTAAGGGTGAGTTTCTCTTTAAAAACACAATGCTCCCTTGAGTGAGTCCACCCAAGAGCCCAAACCACCACCCAAAGAGGGGAAAGACTGGCTGGGCAGAAATGATGTGGGGGTGTCTGGAAGGAATGTAGATCAGCCTGGTAAGGCTGCTACTGCAAAACGCATGCCAGGGAGTCAGCCTTCCGAGTGCTGCATGTTGGGTCAGTCTACCTGAGCGCCCCATACTATAATCTCCATCTTTTAAGGTGGATGTCTCGGCCATCGCTGCCTCCCTGGGAATATCCACCCAGATTCCGCTGGCCTGGTTCATAGCCAAAACCTCTCACCAGAACGTAGAGCAGGATATAGAGGTGATGGGTCAGCCAGAAGCCCCGGAAGCTACAGCGCCGGAAGTGGTGGGAGGCGAAGATGTACATGATGGAGAGAATCAGGAGCAGCATGACTCCCGTGAGACCTGCAAAATGAACATGGGGTGAGGGCAGAGGAGCAAGGCCTCACAAAACGGGCTGTTCTGAGGCTACTAGGGTTCCCTCTCCACTCCACAGCTCTAGGCGAGTGATAGAACCCCACCATCCTTCCCTCTTCCTCTCCCCAATACCACTGATCACAGGTGCCTTTCACTTTTCACCAGACCCTGCTTGTCCTTCATAGACCCTGTTATGACTGTTATGTCTCATGCACTTGTGTCATTATTTGTTTCATATCTGTCACTTTTTTGACTCTCAGGTCCACAAGAACAGGGTCCAGGCTAGGCTAGTTTACCACTGCACTCGGGTGCCTAGTGTAAGGCCTGGCACACCACGGGCCTTCGGAAAATGTGTACTGAGTGGATGAATGGACAGGGCAGCTACTCTGAGTCCTCTGGATAGAACTCCGGATGCTGTAGGCCCTACCCTTGGGGAGTCGAGGCTTGGTCAGGGTCCAGGTAGCACTCTAGCTGGCAGCCACATCACAGAGCATGAGCACTGACACAGTGAGTGAGTGGGACCACACCATCACTGCTCATCACCAGAGCCCCCCTGAGTCCCACCCACCCAGACCTGGTGGGAGACCCCTCCTCTCACAGGGGATCCTAGGCGACACTGGAGCCATGCCAGAGAATGTCCCTCAAGTGATCAAGGAGGAGGAGGCAGAAGTGAGGAAGATTAGAGCCCTGTAGTGTGAAAAAGCAGAGGTTAAGAAGGGATCTAGCCAAAGCCTATAAGTCCTGAATGGAGAGGAGAGCATAAACATGGCTTGATCCATTAAACCCCAGTGTGCAGGATCAGCAAGCACTCTCTGAAGTTCAAAGCAGATCGTTTTAGGGTTTAAAGAAAATTTAAAAAAAAATGCTGTGTTTTACAGAAAGGAGTGTAGAAGATGCATTACCCCAAGGAGGGAACAGACTTAAAATATAAATAGCTTCAAGAAGCATTTGAATAGATTTACAGCTAATAGCTCTAAAATGGGTGATTATGGGCAGTGAGGAATATGCCCTAAATGGCTCTTGTCAAGACTACAGAATTGAGGGGGAGGGGTATTTGACAGGAGGGGGAGGGGTATTTGCCAGGCTCTATGAAGAGTAAACTCCGGGAGTTGGTGATGGACAGGGAGGCCTGGCGTGCTGCGATTCATGGGCCCGCAAAGAGTCGGACACGACTGAGCAACTGAACTGAACTGAACTGAATGAAGAGCCCAGTCCCTCCCTCACATAGCTGAGGACAGCATTCCTCAAAGTCACTGTCATGGTAGGTGTGTATGTTCGGGTGGAGGGGATACACTGCTGTCCCTCAGAGGGAGTAACTAGCTCAGAACTGGGGGAGGAGCTCCGCTAAGCTCTTGAGAGAAGGCCTGGAATGCAGTCCCCTACAGCCCAGAAAAGTGCTCAGGGCAAGGGCATAGCCTGGCTCACTGTCACGGCCAGGAGCACCAAGCCGAGGGACTGGGCTGCCTGTGGCAGGCAGAACCCAGAGCCCGGCACTCAGAGCCAGGCCCAGAAACACACGCAGTGAGAGGGCTCTCACCTGGCACAGTCTGGAAGAACCACCAGTAATACTTCTGGGGGAACTCGGATCTGTGGGGAAGGGAAAGCAAGTGAGGAGACGTCTGGGACTTCCAGAAAGGACTCTCCAGAGGAGGCACCCCAAACCAGCCACCCGTCTCCCTTTCTGCAACTTGGGATTCCGGGCTCAGGATGATCATTGTCTGTGCTATAACCTGGAGGGGGACCCACTCCTGAGCCAAGAAAATGTCTTTTCTTTTTTCTGAACCAAGAGAATTTTTGCAAAGAATTTCACCCTCTTCACCCCCAGGCCAGGCCACACACACACACACACACACACACACACACACAGACTCTCTCTCTCTCTCTCTCTCTTTCTCACCCATTGTCATGGAAGAGGCCCGGAAAGAGGCAGGAGAGGACGCTGAGCGGGCTGATGGAGAAGAGGTACACGTTCACCACGTGGCCTGCACTGTGTAAGACTGAGGAAGACCAGACAGAGTAGCGGTGAGCCTGGGGCCAGCCCACTGCAGGTGCTCAATGCATTCAGCCCTAGCAGGAGGACTCCAGCCAGCCGGAGCTGGGGGCCTGAAGAAGGACCCCGGGAATCTGTACTTCTGTTTTCTAATCAGCCTCCTGTCCCTCCCCTTCCTCACATACCCATTATCTGTGAAAACAGTCCCACGGGTCTGAAATTATACTCTTAGAAGTTCATTCCTGGGAATTCCCTGGTGGTCCAGCGGCTAAGACTCTGCGCTCCTGATACAGGGGGGCTGGGTTCGATCCCTGGTCAGGGAACTAGATCCCACATGCCACAACTAAGACTCTATGCAGCCAAATGAATAAAAATAAATGTTAAAAAAAAAGTTCATTCCTTTGGTTTCTTTTGCAGAATTATGTTTTAAAACATAAAAGTTGGGGGAGATCACACACTATTAAGTGCACTCATTTTGGGGTGTGAGTAACTTGTCAGTGGGAAGTGGTGAAGTGGACTTGACAGCCTGGGGCAGTGAGGGACTCCTGGGCTTACTTCACAGCACCGCGGGAGCCACCGTCATCCTATGAGAACATCTAAGACTCAGGCTCACGTTACCCGCGGGTGGAGAAGAGGGGGGCTCTCAGAGGAGGGGCAGCTTGCAAGGGGCGGAGGAGGTGGAGAAGATCCCTGAGACTCCCAGGCCCTGCCTGTGAGGACGATGGCAGTAGAGGCAATGAGGCGATGGAAGTCCACGGCGGCGTCGAAGGGCACGTAGCGGTTGAGGAAGGTCTCTCGCAGGAAGGTGATGAGGTTGCGGCACATGGTGAGCAGGATGTAGGAGAACATGAAGGAGATGCTCGCCGCTGTGCCGCGCGACAGGATGATGCCCACACGGGTGATGTCCGTGATGCCCTTGTGGTGAGCCGCGAAGGCGTAGTCTGCAGAGGGCCCTGGCGGGTGAGCGCAGCGCAGGCCCCGGCCCGCGGCCACCGCTGCCTGCCACAAGCTTCCCGCAAGCTCTATTCGAGCCGGCACTTGGCTCTTCTGAGGCCCCGCCCCCAGGGCTGTCACTCATTGCCGCCCCGCCCCGGGGCTGTCCGTCACTCGCTTCGGCCCCACTCCCCGGGCTGTGGCTTATTCTAAGCCCCGTCCCTCCACGGCTGTCACTCACAGTAGGCTCTCTCCAGGAAGAGGCCCCCTGCAATCGCGTAGAACACCGCCAGACAGCCTATGTGGCGCCGGTAGTTCTCAACGAAGCGCTTGAACTGCTGCACCGTCTGGTGACGACGGCTACGTTGAAACTTCTCTCGGTGAGCCTCGGTGAACAGCAGGGGCTGGAACGATGTCACCCTGGGAGACAGGAAGTCTTGGTTCTCGGCTAAGGACCCGATGCTAATATGGACCCGGTCTCCAGAGGGGAGAAAGGAGCATCAAGTTATTCAAGACAAAGTAGGGTGTAGACCTCAAAGGCTCCTAATACCACCCTCCTCAAGCGGGCTGTCAGTAAGGGGACGCCCTTGCAAATAGTCACTCTGTCACTCTCTTCTTCCAGTTCGTAGCTCTCAATTCCCACCAGCTCTACTCTCATCCTTTACTGGAGGTTCAGTGGACTCGTCCTCCACGAAGCCTTCCCTACCTCCCAGGCATAGGTGACCACTTCCTTGAGTTCTGAAGCCTTCTGTTCTTACCACTATTATAGCATTCATCAGTGGGACACTGTGACTATCACTGTACCAGACTATCTCAGCAGACTATGACATTCTTGGGCAAGGACTGTTCATCTTGCCCACACCCCCAATGCCAGCACAGTGCCTGGCGTCGAATAATCAATGTGTGCGTGCCCAAGGAATGGGTGAACTGTTTGGGCTAAAGGGAAGGAGCAAGCGTACTTCTTGCCAAACCTCCGGCGAATCTCCTGGGGAGGGTCTGTGTCGTTGGGGCACTGCAGTCTCCGTGGTGTCAGCTCCATCCCGATGTCAGTGTCCTTTCGGGGACAGCGAGCACTCACTCTGGGAGAGGGACTAGGACAGGAGTGCAGATTAGGATGGGACCTCGGCCGCCTGAACCATATGGTTCTCTGTTGCCCCTCCCACAGGGCTTTCTCTGACCTTTTCTAATTTGCATGAAAGCACTACTTGGGCTAGTGAAGGTTCTAATCCCAGACATTCTGGGGAAATAAAAAACACCTCCCTGACCCCAGCTTTCCCTCCAACATCCCCAGATGAGGGCTTACCAGAGCTTCTCCTGGCTGATGTAGGAGGCTCGCCGGCAGAGGTCCTTGATGACTTCAGGTACCTCCACCCCTAAAATGCAGAGCCAGGCTAGCTAGAAGCTCAGGGTCCAGGGCCCAGGAGGACCTATCTCAAATGCACACCACCCACCCCATGTCCGGACACTGTAGAGGGTCCCTGGCCAGTACGCTGCCTCTGGGTGAGCCAGCCTCAGCCTGTGATCCCAGTGGGAGCTAGACTCAGCCATGAGGAGTTAGGGAGAGGGTTTGAAACCAAGGTGGCCAGGCAGGCTCCCCTGAGTATGTGTCCAGTTTCAGTCCCACACCTGAGACTGGTATAAGGCTTGTGGGCTAGGGTTCAGGAACTGTACACAACCTGCCGGCTAAGACTTCAGTTCAGTTCAGTTCAGTCGCTCAGTCGTGTCCGACTCTTTGCGACCCCATGGACTGTAGCCTACCAGGCTTCTCCGTCCATGGGATTTTCCAGGCAAGAATACTGGAGTGGGCTGCCATTTCCTTCTCCAGGGGGATCTTCCCAACCCAGGGACCGAACCTGGGTCTCCCGCATTGCAGGCAGATGCTTTGCCGTCTGAACCACCAGGGAAGTTTGCTAAGACTACTCAGCCACAAAACCCTGCTAAAGACCCTCTGGCTTAAAAACTCCCAGGAGTTAAGTGTAGACTCTAGGTAGTACATTTATGGGAGATGACTATAAAATTCTTTCCCCGTTTCTGTGTTTGAAAGTGCTCGTAATAAAATGTTAGGGGTTGGGAGGAACCCTTCCAGAAGATGCCAGCGCTGAGGGGCAGGGCAGGACTGAGCTGCAAATCCAGGTTCTCACAGGAGGCCTGGGAACGTCCAGGTCACTTTCAAGTGCAAAACCAGTCTTGAAGATTACCCTGGTCTACAGCCCAGAGGCCAAAGTGATTAAACTGAATTTAATGAAATGAGTGTTTTAAAACAAAGAATAGATGTCTGTTCTCTCAAATGGTTCAGCAAACAACAGATGTTGGAAAATGGTAACAAATGGCAAATGTAGGTGAAGGGCAAAGGGATGCTCCTTGTATCATTCTTACACCTTTCCTGCAGGTTCATGATGTTTCCAAGTGAAATACAGAGGAAACAGCAAAGCACAACAACAATTAAAAAACAAGCAAAATAGTACTCAGTGCTAACACTCAACTTAGTCCCCAAGCCTGGTCCTCCCCTCCACACCAAGGCCTGGATGTCTCAGAACTCTGGTCTAGGCTCACTTCCTGGCACCTTTCCCTGCTTTCCCCTCAGGCCCAGGTGCCTGTCTGGGAAAGGTGGAAAATTGCAGAATCAGGAGTGCTGGGTCTGTGCTCTACCAACACCCTCTTCTCGCCCTGGGGACCAGAAGCCCTGACCAGAGGCCCAGCTGTGTCTTATGCAATTCACCCCTCACCCCATCTGGGCTGCTTAGCCCCCCAAATTCTCATAATACTAGGAGGGACTGGGTTTGGTCTCAACATGTCCCATTGAGAATTCCAGGCTGTGAAGACTCTGTAACAGCCCAGAGGAGGCCACAGGCCATCCCTCTGCCTGCTACCTGGTCCCTCTTCACCCTGACTCTAGCCCCTACTCACCTGAGTCAGACATAGGTGGGGCAGGTAGTCAGGGGGAGGGAAAAAAATAGAGTGGGACTCTATATACTTAGCAAACATTTAACAAGCACTCCTCCAAGGGGTAAGGTGGCAAACAAAACCAGAGCAGCCCACTGCCACCATCAGACACCCCAGCTGAGATGGGTATGACCAGGCACAGGGAGACACGTCTTCCCTCCTGATGTGGGCACCAGGCACGGGCCTTTGACAGGAAAGCAGAATTCCACCTGCCATCCCCCACCCTATCCTGACCCTGCCCACCCCACCAGCAGGGCTGCACTATGACTTTTCTGGGCCATGGGCACTACTACCTTTCTGCACTAAAAAATTATGTTGGTATAAAGAAGAATATAATCCAGGCTGGATACATTACATATTTATCATCATTATTATATTAATTCTTCTCACTTTAAAAGAAATATAAACAGTTCCATGGCACCTCAAAGAATGTGGGCCCTAGGCAGGGGACAGCTGTGCCTACTAACTGAGTCAGCCGTGCCCAGCCGGCTGCCCCACCTTTGACACACAGCTGTGTGAAGCGGAGCTCGCTGTCGTGGTCCCGCAGCATGAAGTGGAAGTCCTCCCACGTCAGCTCCTGCTTGTCCTGGAAGCCTGACTCCCGGAACATGGACTCCACCACCTCGGTCAGTTGGGTCTTGGTCAGGCAGTTGTTGGAGATCTCAATGAAGGACCTGGGGCCGGGGGGAGGGAAGCCATCAGGCCCCAACAAGAAGCCTGCAGCTTAGATGCAAGGCCAGCCCAACAGACCTTCAGAGCTGAGCCAATGTGGAAGGGCCCCGACTGACTAAATCCCAAGCCCTCTCCTAGTTACAGCAGTCTCTGGCTATATGGCCTCTATATCTGCTGTTTACCTCCTGCTCCCTCCTTCACATCCCACCTCTCTCCCCCACAGTCCCTGCTCTGGCCCACTCTCCCGGCTCTCCTGCAGCACCAACCTCAGCATTCTGATGAACTCGTCCTTGGAAATGAGGCCATTCCCATCAAAGTCATACATGCGGAACATAAGGCGAGACTTCTCCTCGGGGGAGCCTGGGAGAAGAAGGACCCTGTGAGAGCCTCGGCCCGCCTGCCGACACCCCAGGCTGGCCAGGAGGAGCCTCACACTGGATCGACCCACTGCTGGACGCAGCCAGGGTTTGCTCTGCTTCCTGACCCCTACCCGGGCATTCCCAGGTGTCTGCCACGACTGGAGACCTGGCCGCAGTGCTTCCCGGTCACTTAACAGGTCAGCGGCACTCCAGCCTCAGTCTCCAGCTCTTCTCATCTCCTCCTGTCTAGGTAATCACTCCCTCCTCCCTCACCTTTCATGAAGACCACCAGGATGTCGAGGAACTCCCGGAAGGACAGGTAGCCATTGCCGTCTTTGTCGGCCAGGGAAAACATGGACTCCACAAACATGTCCTGGGGCTTGAGGCCCAGGGACTCGGCGAACTCAGCCCGGCTCAGCTCACACGTCAGGGCCTCCCGTACCTTCTGCGATGAGTCCAGGGGCAGGGTACCTGCATCTGCCTGGTCGATGTCCAGCACCTGTACTTGGGCAGCAGCAGAGAGGGGAGAGAAAAAGACAAGGCTTCCTTGACTTGAAGGCAAGTGCAGGGTTTTGGTGCCACCTTTTAAGGTGACTGCTCAGCACCCCCACCACTAAGTACTAGCCCATCAGCCCTGTGAGTGGTCCCTGGGCCTCTGTATTAGCTGATTGGACCAGGGATGCACACTTGACCCAAGCAGAAGGTCTGAAATTGAGACTGGGAGGTCCCAGAACAGTCTTGACCTGAGTGTAAGAAAACAACCACACTGCTCCTTCATGTGCTCAGAGACATAGAGACAGGAGGAAGTGGGGGGTGGGGGGTGGACTTCCCTGGTGGTCCAGCGGCTAAGACTCTGTGCAGGGGGCCTGGGTTTGATCCATGATCAGGGAATTAGATCCCACATGCCACAAGTAAAGTTCCAGCAAGCCACAACTAAGACCTGGCACAGCCAAAAAGCAGGGGCATGGAGAAAATGGAGGCAGCCTGAGACAGAAGTGGCCTTGTTTGATGACAGCTTTCCCTTTCCTGGTCCCTTTCAGGCCAGATCACAGTCTTCCCTTTGGACTTCCTGAGACACCACTATGTCCTCAGAGTCACTGACCCTTTGTCAGTGCTAGCTTGAGCAGGTGTCTCTTATCTCCAAAGGAGTTTTAACTGAGAACATCTTCAGCTGGGCTGAGAACACGTTGGGCTGAGGCAAGGGGAATTCTCATGGAAGGCCATCTTCAGCCCACCCTCCCTGGGACTGCCTGATCATAAGGACAGACAGTGAGGGAAGCAGGCCACTGCATCTGTCCTCCCAGCCTGTCTACTGGGGGCCTCCAGGTCCAGCCAGCTGTGATTTCATGAGCTAAACCTCATTGCTTCAAGCAAGGTGCTGTGGTAGAAAGAGCCTGGGGCTGGAGACAAGAGACCGGGGTTCATGTCCCTACTCTGCCACCCACTCACACTGCGTGACCTCAGGTAAGTCTATTCAGCTGTCTGGCATTCATTTCCTCACCTGTCTTTCTTATCTCACAGGGTCAATGAGAGGTTGTGTGAAAAATGTTTTGAAAGCACTGAGCAGATAGAAAGGGTTGGCAGCTACCCCCAGAATACAGTAACACACCCTCAGTTCCCAGCACAGCGAGTTCCCAGATCACTTTGGGTCCTAAGCTGAGAGGAGGTGCCCAGGTCCTGGCAATGAGTCACCCCAGTGAGGGGTCCCTCCACTCTCCTGCACACTCAGGTTCAGCTTGTTGGAGGAGTGAATGACATGCCATGTGCCTGGCATGTAATGAATGACCATTAAATGGTACCTTCCTTCATAAATCCTCTCCCCAGCCAGCTAGCCCTGCTCCCTCTCCTCATTCATTTTCTGCCCTTCTACTAGGCATCTCTGCTCAGCCCTTCATGCTGCTTTCTTCTGAGACAAAACTTTTCCAACTTGCGTGCTTGCCAAATCTCACCTCCACCAAGACTACCTTACATCGGCCTGAAGCCTTGCTACCTTTTCTGAACTCCTAGACCACTTACTTCCTGGATCTCTTTTGTAACTGTCATTCTTCCCAATTATCTTTCTTCCTGTGCTCACACCATCTTCCTGGTGGGATGATAAACTCCACTGGTGGGGGCCCATGCCGTATTTATCCTTCATCTCCCAAGCTTCTCCTCTCCACTATTCTGCTCCCAGGCTGCCTGCATTTCCATACCAGATAGGGACTCAAGTCCTTGCAATTCTCTTCCTATCTTGTTTACTCACATCCTCCCAATAGACTAAAAAATCTGCAAGGTGGACACTAATGGCCCATCGAGGCCTCTGACAGCTGTGCTCCCCCAAGGACACGTGACCAAGGACCCTCACTGCCTCCATACTGCTCATCTCACTCTAAGTTCCCGCAGCCATTGGGACAGGATGAGCTGCATGAGGGCAGAAAAGTGGTTAGCTGTGAGGAGTGAAATAAGAAGTGACACATTCAGATAACCCCTTTCTGGCCATTGCCTCCCTGGAGTCTTACAGACGAGGGTGGGCTTGGAAAGGGGGCAGGAACATCTCCTTATAGCAAGGTCAGGTAACTTGGCCAAAATCAACAGCAGAGTTGATTGTTAGCTAAGAACTTGGGGCTTCTAACCTTCCCTGGTGTCACCCCCGGGCCTCACACAGGTAAGGGCACCACTTCAGGCAGACGCACGTGGACAGAACCGATTCCACATACACACCTGGGAGAAAAGGTGCCTGAAAAAGGTCTCCAGGAGGTGGCTCCGCTGCTCCCGTGTCACTGCGGCCCTCATCAACTCCTGCTCTCGCAGCTCCCACTCCTGGAAGCTCAGCCCGCTCTCCTTCAGAGCGCCCCGCAGGCTCTCCACCATCACCTGCCGCTCTTCCTCCAGGTCAAACAGCAGCACCTATGGAGGAGCCATCGGAGAGCAACCACGTGTCAAAGCCTTGGGAGGCCAGAAGGTTCATGTGAATCTTGTTTTTTTTTTGGAGGGGCAGGCGGTGGGGGGGTGGCACTGGAGAAATCACCCCGCCCAAAGAGATATTGTTACTCCTGGGCTCCGTGGAGCTAAGTGGCTTGCTTGCAGGTGCAGAGGTAGCACGCAAAGGCACATGTGCAAAACTATGCTTCCTCTCTACTCCATACTGGAGAAGGGATGGGAAGGCGGGAAGGGCAGAGGATGGAGAGACCCAGAAGCTGGACAGAGTCAGAGCCAAAGACCAGCACCTGACTGAGCTCCCCTCCAAAGCTCTAATTCATCAGATCCTGCAGCCAGGGACAGGAAAGAGGGCCCAGCTTCTTCTAAGGACACTCAGCTAGGGCCTGCCAGGCATTCGTAGAAAGGAAGAGGGCAGACTGAGTCTGCAGAAGCAAAAGGGACAGTGGAGACTGTGGCATCCAGAAGACTCAAGCAGCACAGACATGTTCCAGTTTATCTCACTATCCAGCACTCCATCCAGGGACTAGGAGCTAGAAACCCTGCCTGGCCTGGGGCCCCTCCCCTCCACCTGGCTCCCCCCATGACTTAGGCTGTGGACAAAGAGCTAGGGGCCAGCTGGGCCATACCAGGTCATACTCCTTGGGGATCTTGAGCAGCAGGGCACGGCGTCCGTGGTTGCTGGACAGGATGAGGTTGACCTGCTGTGGGGGCCGCAGCTGGACGGTGCGGAGCATGGAGAGCCTGCCGTCCACCACGTGGATCTGCCCGGGCTGCAGGTGGATCAGCACAGGCCGGCAGGGCTCCTTGTGGCCCTGCCATTCCATTGCTGGAGAGAGATGAGGCTGGGTCAGCTGGGGGCTTCCTCCCCACCCCCTACCCACCCCCCCGGCCCCCGCTGCCTCGGGGAGGAAGAGGGCCAGCTCAGGGCTGGAGTTAGATCAAGGCCTCTGAGCTCCATGTCCTGTCCTGCATACTGGTGGTCACCCCCTCCCAACAGTCGCTCCTCTAGTCCATGAGCAGCATAACTACCGTGTCCCGGGTGTTGACTATGTGTCCAACACCGTACCCAGTGCTTTGTGTGAACTATTTTATTTAATGTTCACAAATCTATGAGGTTAGTGCTATTGTTATTATCATGTTACAGATGAGAAAAACAAATAGGATTAGACAGATTAAAATTTGCCTGAAGTCCAATAGCCCACAGGGGTGGAACCAAGATTCTAAGCCTCAGTCAATGTGACTCTAGACCTTCCTTACTGACTTCTCTGTTGTTTGAAATTCCAGTTGTGAGACACTGCAAAGCAGCAGTTCTCGGGAACTGGTGCATCACCATGAGCCTGTGAAATGTAGGCAGGGTCCCATGACTCCTCCCTGTGAGTCTATCACATTCTGTTCTTTTTCGGGGACCATCGGGAGGAGCTAAGGAGGATGGAGGACTCCTGGTCTGATTCCTGCCTAATGCCCCAGTGACTCTTCCTGCCTGACCCAGCCTGTCCAGAGGCCTAGAAAAGGTCTTTGCCCTAGGCTGCTGAGAGAGGCAGGGGCTGTAGCCTGGAGTCATGACCTCCCCTCTCCAACCCTGGCCAGCCCCAGGCCTACCTTTTATGCCCCCCACGAGCTTCTCACACATGATGCTCTGGCGGTCTTGGCCCTGAAGCCTCTTTAAATTTCTCCTCCGGAGCTGGGCAACGATCCAGGCACCGAGCAGGCTCACTGAGAGGCAGAAGCAGTAGGATGCTCAGAGGAAGGTAGAGGTCTGGGGAGATCAGTGACTTCTTTCCCAGGTTTCTTTCCTTGGCAAGAACCCCTGCTGTCCTCACCTCCTAGGTAACCCATTCAGTTGTCTCAAATTATGAAGGGCCCCGGGAGGGAGGTGCTCTGCATCCCATGGGAAGTTTTGTGGAGCATCTAAGGTGCATGCCTACCCTTGTCTGCTTCTACCCCTCGGGTCCCTTCCCAGCTAGAAACTGGTCCTTGTGCTGGAGACTGGACCCACTCTACCAGGCTGCTGGTTGATCGACATACTTAGTCAAAGACTAAGTCCCAAGCCGTTGCCCCAGCAGCTACATCCCAGCCCTGCTCCTTAGACAGGCATTTGCTTCTGACAGTTTCCCATGCTGAGACTCCTGTAAATTGCTGTGGATTGTGGGTTGCCCATGGCTCCTGAACCAATCTGGGCCCTGCGAGGGACCCCAGAAGAACAGGAAGACAATTCCCCCTGGAGCTGACTTATGTGTCGCTTTAATACTTCTCACGTCCCGCCTGCTCTGATGTTTTCATCTCCTTGGAGGAACAGTACTCTGCATTTGTTGGTTGTCATAAATGCAGCTGACCCCACCCCCAGCTGACACCTCTCACCCAGCCCCACCCTGCCCATCACTTTTACCCAAGGGGAAGCAGCACAGAGTCCCGATGGTGACCCCGAAGCCAAATCCACTGCCTTCAAAATAGTCCCGCATGATGGGGGGAGCACAGGCTGGCAGGCCTTCAGTGCTGAGCTGTCCTGGCTGTGGGCAGGGGTCTCCTGGGAAAACAGAGGAATGTACAGGCCGGGGGATGCTGGGCCACAAGCTCTAGGACAGGATCACCGAGGAAGTTAGGGTGACAGAAAGAGTTCTGGGAAGCAGAGGGGAGGGGGCTTCTTACCCCTGCCATTGTACCACGGATGTGGCATCTGCCTACTTGGGTAACATGTGGATAAAAAATGAACCTCAACCTGTCTCTCCCCCACACACACATAATACACACACACACACACACATACACACACACAGAGCCCTACCATCATCACTGCTGTGGGGTTAGGATATCCTTGGCCACCTGATTCAAAGAGCCAACTCATTGGAAAAGACCCTGATGCTGGGAAAGATTGAAGGCAAAAGGAGAAGGGAGTGGCAGAGGATGAGATGCTTGGATGGCATCACTGACTCAGTGGACATGAATTTGAGCAAACTCCAGCAGGTAATGAAGGACAGAGGAGCCTCAGATCGACATACTTAGTCAAAGACTAAGTCCCAAGCCGTTGCCCCAGCAGCTACATCCCAGCCCTGCTCCTTAGACAGGCATTTGCTTCTGACAGTTTCCCATGCTGAGGCTCCTGTAAATTGCTGTGGATTGTGGGTTGCCCATGGCTCCTGAACCAATCTGGGCCCTGCGAGGGACCCCAGAAGAACAGGAAGACAATTCCCCCTGGAGCTGACTTATGTGTCGCTTTAATACTTCTCACGTCCCGCCTGCTCTGATGTTTTCATCTCCTTGGAGGAACAGTACTCTGCATTTGTTGGTTGTCATAAATGCAGCTGACCCCACCCCCAGCTGACACCTCTCACCCAGCCCCACCCTGCCCATCACTTTTACCCAAGGGGAAGCAGCACAGAGTCCCGATGGTGACCCCGAAGCCAAATCCACTGCCTTCAAAATAGTCCCGCATGATGGGGGGAGCACAGGCTGGCAGGCCTTCGGTGCTGAGCTGTCCTGGCTGTGGGCAGGGGTCTCCTGGGAAAACAGAGGAATGTACAGGCCGGGGGATGCTGGGCCACAAGCTCTAGGACAGGATCACCGAGGAAGTTAGGGTGGCAGAAAGAGTTCTGGGAAGCAGAGGGGAGGGGGCTTCTTACCCCTGCCATTGTACCACGGATGTGGCATCTGCCTACTTGGGTAACATGTGGATAAAAAATGAACCTCAACCTGTCTCTCCCCCACACACACATAATACACACACACACACACACATACACACACACAGAGCCCTACCATCATCACTGCTGTGGGGTTAGGATATCCTTGGCCACCTGATTCAAAGAGCCAACTCATTGGAAAAGACCCTGATGCTGGGAAAGATTGAAGGCAAAAGGAGAAGGGAGTGGCAGAGGATGAGATGCTTGGATGGCATCACTGACTCAGTGGACATGAATTTGAGCAAACTCCAGCAGGTAATGAAGGACAGAGGAGCCTCGTGTGCTGCAACCTCCATGGGGTTGCAAAGAGTTGGACACAACTTAGCAACGCAACAACAACAAAGGATAGCTTGCCCCCCACAATGCTATAACCATCCTGGCCAAATGTGAGCCTCCTCACCAGGTCTCTCTGCATCTCAGTACTACCCTCGCTTGGGTACCTGCTGGGGTTTTACAGAAGGGATCCTACATGGCTCTATGTGGCAACCTGGGGCCCCAGAACCCAAGTCTTCAGGGGCAGAATCAGGGATACTCCCCACACAGAGTCTACTACCCAGCCACCCTGAACCAAGCCCCCAGCTGAGGAGGGCTGAGGCACCAGATCCCAAACCCCACCAAGCACCCTGGGTCACTCACCAGCATGCCAGAAGAAGACATTGGGCTGCAGGGCCCCAGGGTCCACCTTGGTGACAGCTACTAAGACATCCCGTAGGGAAGTGTTTCTGATCTCTGCAATCTCTTTTTCAGAGAACAGCCTGGGAGTGGGAGAGGTGGGGAGCTGTTGAGATGGGTGAGCGAGGCAGGCCCCTAGGCCCAGGAACCCAGATGAAGGAAAAGACACAAAGTGTTGGGGAGGGAGTGGTGGGTCAGCTGGGAGTCAAGGGCCCATGGGGGCCATTCATGGACAGAGGGTCTGGGACCTAGGCCGAGGTAGAGTCTGAGGTGGGATCCAAGCAGGCCTTACCCATTCTTGCTGTTCTCAAACCAGTAGCGGTCGCCATCCCGCAGACGCACAAACTGATCAAGGACGATGGTGCTGAAGAGGGGTCCAGGGTCCCCGTGGCTCTCCAGGAGCCCCCCAGGGAGTAGCTCCAGCCGGGACAGGTCCTGGTTGTACAGGGCCGCCGTGGCCTCCAGCACCTGGAGCCAAGAAGGGAGAGGAGTGAGTGCAAAGATGGAGTACCTGTTCTCCAGCCAAGAGCTGGCTCCCAGAGATCAGCCCCAGGGATCATCATAAAAAAGTGACAGTGAGGGTAAGTCACTCATTATGCCCTGGGCACTGCTCTGAATGCTTTCTATAAGTTGACTCATTTATGAGAATTCTCTCACAGACTCAGCTGCTTATTTTATCAAGTTAAAACAAAACAGGCAGGCAGTCCCCTAGGTGACTTGTTCTTGAAAAGGTATAACAGTTGAAGGTCAAAATCAGCACGAAAGTTGAATGGTTGAATGATGGGTCAGAAAAAACTTCTAATCTTTACAGGTTAAAAAAAAAGTTTGGAAAATCGAATCCCTTCATATCCATTGCCTTTTAGAGACAGTATACGAACAGTGTTATTCACCTGAGCTTTACTGTAGTTCTTTTCTCCACAATGTAAATAATCACTGTGTGCTATGTTGTTCTTAGTCTCTCAGTCGGGTCTGACCCTTTGAGACCCCATGGACTGTAGCCCGCCAGGCTTCTCTGTCCATGGGATTCTCCAGAATACTAGAGTGGGTTGCCATGCTCTCTTCCAGGGGGATCTTCCCAACCCAGGGATTGAACCCAAGTCTCCTGCATTGCAGACAGATTCTTTACCATCTGAGCACTGGACCAGCTTAATTCCAATGAGGCCCAACTGAAGTTAAGGATTTGCTGCCTTTGGCATAACTGGTGATTCCTATCTACATGTTGATTTTATAAAGGTTTCAAGCCTCGTGGACATATCACTTCTTTATAACCTTTCAATTCTCCACTTTCCAATAATTTTATAAAATAGTGAGGGCAAAAGCAATAAAATAATTATTGACTGCTAGCTTCCACAGTGGCTCAGAGGTAAAGAATCCACTTCCAATGTAGGAGAGGCAGGAGATGAGGATTCAATCCCTGGGTCAGGAAGATCCCCTGGAAGAGGTATGGAAACCCACTCCAGTATTCTTGTTGGGAAAACCTCATGGACAGAGGAGCCTGACTGGCTACGGTCCATGGGGTTGCAAAGAGTCAGACACGACTGAAGTGACTGAGCACAACTGTAGAAGCAGTGCTGTGCCCAAAAGGTAAGGCAGCCAGAACTGGTCTGCTGGCTGGCAGGCCATGCCGTTTGCCCAGGTGATAGCTCAGAGTGTGACAGCTGACTCTCCAAAAGCAGCTTGAATATTGGCATATGAAAGTACAGTTTGTTCTTGAGTTAAGGACCTCCTAAGCTCATTCAGGGAGTTCTTGGGAAGAGTAAATGAGATGAACCCTATTAAGTGCAACAGATGCTCTCTAAACATTTGCTGGATCTGCACAATTGCAGAGTCTAAACCTGATCCTGCTGGTCTGGTAACTTCCATCCTGGTGTGTGATCCTGCGAAAAGCGGCCTGGGTGAGCTCTGCCCTGCCCACCAGATGCTTGCCTCTGGTGCCTGTGTCTTGCTGTCTGTCTTCTGTGTCTCAACCCAGTGTGCCCTGGACCTCCCCCCCCGGCCCTACCACCAGGGGCCCAACCCCTCCTCACAGTGCTATCACTCGGGGAGAGGGCTGGGTTGATGTCCTGCCATCTGGTAACTGGAGGCAGGCCCAGGGTTGCCCTGGCCTTGGTGTAAGAGGGCAGGCCCAGATCCCGGCCCCGGAGCAGGCAACTGGCCAGGTGGTCTGTGCGGGAAAACTTCAGTGGCCCAGGCCAGAAATCTGGGGATGAGATACCAAAGAGTCTGAGAGAGTTCCTGGACCTCATGCCCAGGTTCCCATCAGCCCTAGGACCCCAGCCATACCCACACAGAGGGAGCTGTGGTCTGCAGGTCAGAAGCTCCATCAGCAATGAGAGAGTGTAGGTTCCCCATCCCTCGTCGCCCCCCAACCGGCATGCCTCCCTGCCCGATTCTGGAGCTCCCATTGAACTTCTTCCCAGGGGCCAGGGCTGCATAGCCTGCAGGGACAGCCTCAGCCTCACCTCGCATGTCTTCCACCACCACATGGTCCTCTCGCTCAGCGATCTGGGAGGCCATGCCCAGCAGTAGTGCATCCACATCTTCAGCTCTTTGTAGGTTGGGGTGCTTTAGGGGTGGGGAGAGGGGAGAGGTGTGGCTAAAGAGGCCAGAGGTTGGGCAGTCAGGTTCCCTCAACCCCACGCTTTGGGTCTTGGGCCCACCCAGTCCTGCTGTTTGCTCCCAAACTGGGGGGTCATTCTTCCTCTACAGCTTGGTTCCCCACTCAGGATGAACAATGTCCCCATCCACCTAGAGTGCATGCTGATAGGACACAGGTCTCCGCAAGCACAAGGGACCTAAAACTTTACCTCTGTCTTAGGAAACTTGATGGTACAGTTGCCAAAGGCACTAGGTCTAGGTCTTGGCTCTTGCTCTGTTAGCAACCAGTTGTGTGACAGGACCTGTCTGAACTCAGTGTCCTGCCCTTAATAAAAGGGCCTTATTAATAAAATAAGTAAAATAATACAAAGGTATTAGCAGGACACTGACTTCTCTTTCAGCCCAGATCTATGACTCTGTTTTCCTCTTCCCTCTTCCCTCTTACCTCTTATGAACACACTACATGGAGTATCTGATTTTGCTTTAAATGAATGGTTAATGCTCCTTACCCCTAGTGATCTGGACAGATGATTCCTGTTCATCTCTCAGAATTCCTCCCTCCACCTTGCCCTGCTCACACATACACATTCACACGCTGCCCAGGTGTGTCTAACTGGGAAGTTTCCTTGGGGGAAGGGATGGCTGGGGTACTCCAGTGCCTACAGGGGAGAAGGAAAACCTAGGAAGAAGTGACCCATGCAGAGCCACATCAGCACAGCCCCCACACCCGTGCCTCACACTGCCCTGAGGTGGGGGAGGAGACTGACATTTGACTGTGCACAGTTATCTGGTCATCTCAGACATTGGTAGGGGAGAGGGTTGAGGTGCCCCGGGCTGCCTCCTCCACCCCAGCCCATCCCAGCTGGCTACCTCAGTCTACTGCCCACCTTTACCACACACCCTCAGACACACACACACACACACACACACACACATGCCCTCAATCCTGACCTCTCGGCTCCAGTAGCTGTTGCAGACCCGGAGAGCTCTGGGGACACTTGAGTTCCTATTGATGACCCCCTGGAAGTGGCAGCTGGCATTTCTGAAATGAAAGGAGCAGGTTAGTGGTGACTGAGGCTATGAAGTCCTAATATCAGGCAGGCATCAGCTTTGGTCTCCAAAGCTAGAGCCAAGGACCCAGGTCATTGCTTCCTTAAGGTGGTGTGTGGTCAGGTCCTGAACAATCTGATTTTTGGATGGTCCCTCTCCCCACATTAAACCAAATTTCTAAAACTGTATCTCATATTTTGCCATGTTTCATTCTCTCTAGCTCTCTCTCAACAGATAAAGATATGGATATGGGTATAGATACAGTTACAGATAAACTGTCAACTGAAAAAAAAATAATAAAATAAGTAAAATAATACAAAGGTATTAGCAGGACACTGACTTCTCTTTCAGCCCAGATCTATGACTCTGTTTTCCTCTTCCCTCTTCCCTCTTACCTCTTATGAACACACTACATGGAGTATCTGATTTTGCTTTAAATGAATGGTTAATGCTCCTTACCCCTAGTGACCTGGACAGATGATTCCTGTTCATCTCTCAGAATTCCTCCCTCCACCTTGCCCTGCTCACACATACACATTCACACGCTGCCCAGGTGTGTCTAACTGGGAAGTTTCCTTGGGGGAAGGGATGGCTGGGGTACTCCAGTGCCTACAGGGGAGAAGGAAAACCTAGGAAGAAGTGACCCATGCAGAGCCACATCAGCACAGCCCCCACACCCGTGCCTCACACTGCCCTGAGGTGGGGGAGGAGACTGACATTTGACTGTGCACAGTTATCTGGTCATCTCAGACATTGGTAGGGGAGAGGGTTGAGGTGCCCCGGGCTGCCTCCTCCACCCCAGCCCATCCCAGCTGGCTACCTCAGTCTACTGCCCACCTTTACCACACACCCTCAGACACACACACACACACACACACACACACATGCCCTCAATCCTGACCTCTCGGCTCCAGTAGCTGTTGCAGACCCGGAGAGCTCTGGGGACACTTGAGTTCCTATTGATGACCCCCTGGAAGTGGCAGCTGGCATTTCTGAAATGAAAGGAGCAGGTTAGTGGTGACTGAGGCTATGAAGTCCTAATATCAGGCAGGCATCAGCTTTGGTCTCCAAAGCTAGAGCCAAGGACCCAGGTCATTGCTTCCTTAAGGTGGTGTGTGGTCAGGTCCTGAACAATCTGATTTTTGGATGGTCCCTCTCCCCACATTAAACCAAATTTCTAAAACTGTATCTCATATTTTGCCATGTTTCATTCTCTCTAGCTCTCTCTCAACAGATAAAGATATGGATATGGGTATAGATACAGTTACAGATAAACTGTCAACTGAAAAAAAAATGCACAACATAAGAGTTGTGAGTTCTGGTTTTATTCAGGGAATTTACTGAGGACTATAGTCCAGGAAACAGTCTCTGAATAGCCCTGAGAGGACTGCTCCAAAATGGCTGGGAGAGAAGCTAGTGTATATATATATGATTTTGGCTAGAGAATGGGTGCAAACACCCATCTCTGTAGAAGGTTACTGCTAGTCATGAGAATCAGTTATCCTGGTTAATGGTTTTTGTGTTTTTCTATGTATTGGGAGATAGAAAAATCCGGAGCCATTAAAAATATTTTTTCTGAGATATCTCTAGCTATCTAAGGAGTCTGTTTTTCCAATGCAGAGTGCCTTATCCTTTTTTTGGTCCCAAATTCTTTTTCAGGGTATACTGTTGGAAGATAGCTGCAGTGGTTAATTCCACAAGCAGTTCCTTGTGGAATTGGATGGTGGGCAACATTCTTTACATATATTTATATTTATGTATGTAAATTAAAACATATAAAATGGATTATTAATCATTTTTTGAAATTACTTGTCTAAGGATAACTCAAGTACTACGATTTCTTAGCCATCATCAGCCATATCCAGAAATTGTTCTAGAGTAAAAAAATCTAATCCATGAATTGTTTTCAATTATAATGCAGCTGGAAAAAAATAGACTGCCATGCTTTGTTTTATATACTCTTAACTTAATATGTGTATGTTTTTAAAGTTTCCCTCTCATTATTTTGGAGCCAACACTTTTCTCTTTTCTTCAGCTCTCACACATTTTTATTGTAATACCCTCCAAAGGCTTTTAAGCTCCATGCTCTGTTCTTATAGCTAAGAATGCCCCCAGTGTAGTGTCAACACCTTAGGTGTAGACCTGGGGGCTTTGTGATTCACCCTCTGAACCTCAATTAACTGATCTTTAATTAGGGGGATTGATATCTACACCAGTTGCAAAAAAGTAAAAACCACAGTGATTGGAACTCCCCTAGTGGTCCAGTGGCTAAGACTCTGTGCTCATAATGCAGGGAGCCTGGGTTTGAGCCCTGGTCTGAGACCTAGATCCCACGTGTGGAACTAAAATATCCTGTGTATGCTGCAATGAAGACTGAAGATCCCAACTGCCACAACTAAGACATGGCATGGCCAAATAAATATTAAACACACACACACACAGTGATGTATTTTTTAAAACAATTGTCCTTCTTTCCTTCCCTATTCACTCTTCCCTGGGGAATGGGCATACTTCAGGTTGATAAACCAATCCTGAGGGTAGATTTTTCTCAATATGCACCTCCACCCCTCTACACACGAACATCTGAGCCCCTCCCTCACCTCATGTAGACGCCAGGGGGCACCATGGTGGAGAAGAACTGCTCAGAGGCAGCCAGGAACTCCGGGGAGATGCTGGGGTCCAGGAAAGGGCGGTATCCTGGCAGGAGTGGAGAGGAGATAGGATTGGTAAGATTGAGCCCTTAAATCACCCAACTTAGTGCTGAAACAGCTCCTCGTCCCCCCAGAGCGGATGCCGGCGGGCCAGCCTCTGCGCCCACAGGTTGTGATAGCGGAACCAGAGCAGACCCAGCGCCTGCAGGAAGGGCTCGCGGTTCCCTCGCTCGGCCCCGAAGGCTGCACGCACCGCGGGGACGCAGGGAGGAGATGAGCGCGGGCTGGACCGCCGGGCGCCCCTCGCCGTCCCCCGCCCGCACCTCGCCCGGCCCCCGCCGCCTCACCGTACAGCCCCCGCGGCCCGCGGCGGCCCGTGGTGGGATCCGGCGGTGTCCACATGAGCAGCGGGGCCTGCGCGGCCCGCGGGAAGGCGGGGTCGGGCCCCGACGCCAGCTGCCCCCCGGAGAAGCTCCGCAGCTCGTCGCTCCAGGAGTGCGAGGAGCCGTAGATGGCGCTGCCGTCCAGCCAGCCGGTCGCCTCGTTGGTCTGCGGGGACGGCGGGAGGCTGAGCCGGGTGTCGGGCGGCCAGGCGGGTCCGGGAGGGCTGAGGGCCCGCGGGTGTCGTGGGGGCGGCGGGATGGGATCGTCAGCCCCCCATCCCCGCCTGCCGCGCTCACCAGGTCCCGGGGGTTGCTGGGGCTCTGTCCGGTCTCGGGGTCCCAGCGACTCCTCTGGAAGGGCAGGACCACGTCCCCGCTCCGGTCGCGGTCGAACACCGGGTCTCCGGGCGGGATGTGGATGTTGAGGAACTCGGCTGGGCAGCCAGACTTTTCCACGCTCACCAGGTCCGACAGCACGTGGTAGCCTGCCGGCAATTGGGGAGGGCGCGGTAGGGCCAGCAGGGGCCCCTGAGCCGTGTATCTAGACCCCCAGCCCCTTCCCTTCAAGCTTTAAAAGACTCAGAAGCCATTACGGGCAAGTCTAAGCCTTGACCTCCCCACCCCTTACCAACCCTTTGTCCAAGGTGTTTTCATTGTCAAGTTTGGGCTTCTCCTTGGTAACTGGGAGGTGCCTGTGAATGTGCCTAGGCAGCAGGGCTGGCAGCACTGGCTGCGACATGCAGCTGGGAGCAGCCTGCCCAGAGGGCCTGCCGGCCTCAGTGGGATGCTGCCCACTGAAAAGCACGTAGGGGCACCAGGGATGGCCAACAGGAGCTGAGCATTCCTGCTCAGAGCCGGAGACCTCCAGTCAGTGGGGTCAGGCCCACCTAGCACCCCCATTTTGCCAGCCCATCCTCAGCCTTCGTACCAGAATCAGCACCCTACCCTGAAGCTGTCCTAGGAGCCACAGTGGCAGAGTGAGAACAGAATCCCACCATGAGCCCTTCCGGGATTACGCCCATGGTCCTCTCTTCCCACTCCCATCAACAGCTTAAGGTGGTGCGGATTCATGCCTCTCCCTTCTCCCCCTGCTCCCACGCCTACCCCACCACCCCACTGACTCCTCTCCCATCTCTCACACCCCTCTCTCAGACCCTCCATCACTTCTCTCTGTCACTCCCTGATGACATAGAGGTGTCAGACACAGAGGTGTCCAGCTGACCCCGCAGACCTCCCTTCCCCAGAGGTTGAGGCCCTCACCGAAGAAGACTCCCAGCACTGTGCGGTTTCGCAGCGAGGCCAGCCCTGCGGGGCCCCTCATGGCGGTGTTGCTCAGGGCCCGGGGGTTGGGCAGGTGAGGCTCTCCCAGGGGCTGGTACACGCCATCTGCATAGCTGGCTGGGACCAGTCGCTGCAGCCGAGAGCCTAGTGGAAGAGAGGGAGACACAGGATGAATTCTCAGGGGGCTCTTGGGCCCCTCTCCCAGGCTCCTTCCAAACCACAGATTCTAAGACCATAGGAATGAAGGAGCTTTTGCAGGTACCAGCCAGCCCATGCTCCTTAGTGGTGACTACTATCCTGACTCTGGTCTCCACTTGGCTCTCACCTACCTTTGCTGCCCCATCTGTGCTCCATGAGGTTGTTGTACCACCCATCAAATCGCTGCACCTCCCATGAAATGGAGTTCTGAGATCCTGTGTGAGAACAGAGGGAAGGGGCAGCTGAGCAAGTCAGTGCACGAGAGGACAGGCTGGGTATGGGTCCAGGGGGCCTGGCACTTGGAGCCGCTGAAAGTGGACACCCAGCACAGTGCAGGAGGAAGGGTGCAGAGGGAGATCACCCAGGGCAAAGTGATGTCCAAATTCAAGCCCAATCTTTAAGCTGCTCAGTGGGGAAATATGGCAGGGAGCACTAAAGTTGTGTAACTGGTGTGTATGGATAAATGGCCTCAGAGAGGATGAGTAGGGTGGAGGATAGCAGTGGCGATGGGGCAAGGGAGGCAGATATCTTCTACTACCCTCACACCTCAGCTTCCTGGGGACAGAAGCTCTTCCTAGCCCTAAAACATCACACAGTGCAAGAGTCAGCCACTCTTCCACCCAGGGAAGGACGTCATTCTGTGACTCACCTGTGGGCAGGGGCAGAATGGAAGGGGCTTGGCCCTGTCCCATTGAGCAGAGCTCAGAGTAAGGGTGTGAGCCATGGGGCTGTGGCTTTGGGGCCTGTTGCTACTCAGGTCTTTTTCCCAGTTTCTTGGGTGGGATCAGGGACTGACTGGTCATGTGGATAACCTTGCTGCCTCCTCATTATGTTCCCCACATAATTCCTCCTACTGATTCTATTTTATTCTCCAAAAACTAGGATCTAGGAGGAAGCACTCAGCTGTTGAGGGAAGAACTCAGGCAGTGGGGGCAGAAGGAAGAGCGTAGATGTGGAGCAAGTATGCTTCTGGTCAGTAGATCAGATGACCAGCCAGATTCCTTTCCTTAGACTAGGAGGTTACAGGGCTTAGGCTCCCTCTCTGCTCACCTCAGAGAACAGAGTAAAGAAAAGGACTCTCATCAGCCAGAGAGAGACCCATTCCTCTAGTTGTTGTTCCACTCAGACCAAGGACAGGATCTCAGAGCTACCTTCCTACCCCATGACCGCAGAGCTTGCGCATCAACACACTTATACACATAAACTCACCAGGGGATCTAAGATGGAAGATGACTCAGGCCATGATGTTTGAGCAAAGAATTCAACTAAGGAACCAGGACTTGGGGCAGGAATTAGGGCGGCCACACACATGTGATTTCTAAAATATAATGAGCCAATGGCAGAACAAGGAGGCCGCCTCTTGGGTAGGGCATGAGGGAGAATGCCTCTGGGAATAAGAGGCAAGAGCTGGGGGAAAATGGAAAATCCAATGCCCAGTTAAGGAGAGGACTGGGAGGAATGGGACTGTGAGCAGCTTTGGCAAGGGAGAAGCTGCAGGGGCTGTCTCACCATCCTATAGCCTCCAGCCAAGACCGATCATTCCACAAACTTTCCCTGCTTTCTCTTCTTGCATCTCCTACCCCTGATGATCAGGGACTTGCTCTTTTACACCTAATTTGTGGCAACTTAAGTCAGACTCAGCTTCTGTCCTTGGAGGATCCTGGAGAATCCTGGATTCCTCTGCTCCTAGCCATGCTTCTCTAGTCTGTACTTACCCATGGGCATCCATGGTCCAACTAGGAGTGTCCATGCCAGAGCAAAGTGGAAGCTCATGATGAAAATGTTAATAGGGCTCAGATGTTAGAAAACCCTAAAATGGAGACCCTAGAAAAAAGACAAAGGATGGAGAAAATGAGCTCCAGCAGTTCAGAAGAGTCGGGGTCTCTGGAAGCCCCTCGAGATCAAGGCATGGAAGTGGGCCAAGGCCAGGGTGTATAGCAAATGGCAGAAGACTCACTCTCTCCCAGGAATCTCATTCATTCAACAAACACTTGATAAGCACCCACTACATGGTGGGCACTGACCTAGGCACTGGAGATTAAGTGATAAAGCAGACAGAAACCTCTGCCTTCCTGGACTTACTTTACTTTTGAAGATTAATTGGAAACCTTGTTTTTTTTTTTTTTTTTTTTTTTATGCCACACAGCACTCGGCGGAATTCTAGCTTCTTGACCAGGGATCGAACTGATGCCCCTTGCAGTGAAAGTGCAGAGTCTTAACCACTGGACCACCTGGGAAATCCTGGGAAGCCTTGCTTTGACTCGTCTTCCCATAGTATGTGTTCCCTGGACACAGTCTTGTTTGACGGCCAGAACACTGGGTTGAGGCCAGGATGCTGTGCAGCGGCCAGTCCAGTAGTGTGATCTTGGGCAGGTCACTCATCTGCTCTGGACCTTGGTTTCCTCTTCTGGCTATGAGAATATACAAGCCTAAACTGTCTACCTCCTAGCCTGGTCACCAAGAATCAAATGTGAGAATGAGGTTGAATTCAAGGCAAGAAAATTGACAAGTGTTACGTAAATGTGATATAGAGAGGGTAGGCTGGAGCTTGGCTTCTCTGGGCAGACACAGAAGGGATGTAGCCCCAGGTGCTCATGTGTTTGGTGCTGGCTTCCTGCTTTCTCTCTCTCTCTCAGGCCAGCAAATCACCCAGGAATGATGGGGAAACTGAGGCAGCAGGGGACTCAGGCTGGGACCCTTGAGAGGTGCAAGGCCAGAGAAGACCTCCTAAAGGCAATCTGGAGATTAAACAAACAAACAAAAACTAGGCCCACTCATAATTCAAAAGCTCAGCATGCCACTCTCTCCACCCCCAGTGAAGGGCTTTGAATAGTTAAAGCCAAAAGGCTGGCCCCACTGAAGTGACCACAGTGCCCCTTCCCTGACCTAGGATGTCTTGTCCCTTTCCCTCAGTCACCAGTGTACCACTCAACCAGTATAAAAAAAAAAAAAAAGCATGCAGTGAGCTTTCAGGCCAGGCCAGGCTACCTGAAGGGCAAAGTGGACATGCTTCATAACCACTCCTTCAGGGTGGGTAGCCACAACCATTTACTTCCCAACAACCTTGAAAGGAAAGCAGAGCCTCATGACAGGGCAGTGAAGCCCTAGGCAGTGATAGTACCAGGAGAGAACACAGGTGCCGGGTTCTTTCCCCAAATGGCTGCTTTTCAGACCCAGAGTCCCAGAGTCGTGAGTTCCCTGGGGTAGGGGAAAGATGAGTCAAGGCCATAGGCATTCCATCTTGGTCCCAAGGGTGGGCAAAAGGGGAAAGCCTGGACTCTAAAAGCCCCAAGTTCCCTCCCTGACATGATGCAGTGGCACCAGGAGGCGCTCCAAAGACAGCCCCTATGTCCAAGCGAACTAGGCCACCCAACATTCCCAGTTTCCGAAAAACCCAGTCTCCCCAATCCGGGGAGGATAGGTCTTCACAGGCTCATTTTAGCCTCAGGTTAAGAATGGAGGCTCAGCGGGGCCAAAGCTGGAATTCCCCTTCCCTCAGAAAAGCGTGGCGGTGTCACCGCAGTCACCCTCCCCTGAGCGCCCGTGCACGCGCGAGCCCTCCTGGGTCTGACCTGCGGCCGCGGCGTCTCTCGAGCGCTGACTGCTGCTTGGCTCCCGCAGGGCTCGCCGCTGGGCCGGCGACGCGCTCTGGGTCTGGCGCCTTCTCCCTCTCTGCGCGGGGACGGGCAGGGCTGGGGGTGAAGAGGGGACTGCGCGTCCCAGTTCTAAGGCGGGGCGGGGCGGGGTGGAGTGCCAGGACCCGCCGAGGTGCTCCGGGGAGACCCGGGCGCGCAAGGGGAGACCACGGGCTCGCCCGGCTCAGATGGGGTAGACGTTCTGTCAGTGGCGAGGCCACGTGAGCGGAGAAAAGAGCGAGTCGGCTTCTAAAAGGTCTGCTGGGGATGGGAGAGGGCCGATGAGGGGACACAGTGCGAAGGGACAGGGTAGACGCTGCCCAATCCTCTCCACGCGGGAGGATATGGGCTCTAAGACCAAGAGGACCGGTCAACGCCCGCAGAACCAGGCTAGGCGTTCGAGCAAGGCATGCGTCCTAAGACCTCTTAAGAGTCCGTGGTAACCCACCACCCGGAGTTCGTCTTGAGATCACGGGGGTCTCACTGCCCTCGAGCCCCGTCCGCGCCCCTCTGGACCCGGGATTGCATCGCTAGGTTTGTGCTAGAACTGTCCGGGGCTGTGTGCCAGGGGCGAGGGGAAGGAGGAGTCGGAGGGCTGGCTGCGGAGTGGACCGTTCTCGCGCACCCGTCCCTTTTCCGTCCCAGGCTGGGTGGGGGCGGGCGCAGCGCCTCAGACTCGGGTGCGGTCCGAGAAGGTTGAGAGTTACTTGGAGCGGGGAGGGGCGAGACGGCGGGAAAGCATCCTGACCTGGTTTGTCCGGTCATAGTCTACTTAAATGCAGTAGGAGAAGAGTGGGGGTTGTAAGAGAGCCCCGCCAAGAGAAAGGGCGTGTGCTTTTGGTGACCGGGAGTCCGGACCTGGTTTCTTCTTTATCCCATCCCTGGGAGCGCTTCATATGAGGCTGCACCACGAAGAGGCGAGCGACGCCGGCTGCCAGGCACGCACTGTTTCGAAGAGGCAAAGGTAGGAAACAGCAGTCCGGGTTTAAGTGGCGGGTATACTGCTGCGGTCTGCACGGCCCGGGTGGGTGTCGAAGAGGGCCTTGAAGTGCTGTCCCCGCCCCGGCCCCTAGAGGCGCACTTCCCACATCCGCCCAGGTTCAGATCAAGTGGGAGTTCCAAGTACTGTGAGAAACGAAGAGGCAAAGAACAAACAAAACAAGAAGAAACTTAACTAAGGCCACGAGGTTTACAGATGTAGAATCCTTACCTCGGCTTAACTGGAGTCTAGGTAATTCGGCTGGCAAGATTCAGCACCCCTGGGCTCCTTAACCGCCTCAGCCCTTTTTAAGGATTCCTGCCCCAACCCACTTTTCAGATCTTGTTCTATTTCTCCACTTAAAGGCCTTCTTTGGTGCAAAATCACACGTACGCGTGCCCACACACCTTCTTGAAGAAAAGAGACTGGGACAGGAATTCTGGACAGGGTCCTTTAAGCCATCCAGAGCTGTGAACTTTGAGTGGAGTCCACCCCAAACAGAGAAATAAACCATCACATTCTAGCAACTGGTATCACTAGTCAGAGTACTTGACAACTCCAGGTAAGTCACCCACACTCCCTTTGTAGAGAATTGATCATCTTTACCGGTTCCAGAAGAAGCAGGAGGCAATCAGAGAAAGACTTCAGAAAGAAATCCCTGAGAGGGCACAGAACATTAAGAATGTACAGAAGAACGTTGAATGCAGAAGTCTGAAGCTTGCACTAGGCTGTATTTCTTTGAAGACTGTAGCTTTATTTCTCTGCCACCCCTAATCACACAAAGAGGAACCCCACTCTATCCTGTGGTAGGTAAGGAATGGGTACTCTGTATCTGAATTGCAACTGAGAATGAGAAATACTTCAGTATTTTAAGAGGAAAGGTATGCCTTACCTCTCAGGCCAGGTGGCAAAGCAGAAAAGAACAACCCCAGAATGTGGAAATTGGCCCACCCAGTGAGAAAACACCTCAACTTAGTCACAGGGGCCTCTGATGCAGGATTTTTGTGTCTAGATGTTTATGGTACTGGGAACTCCTTCCTTTTGTCTGTATTTCTATTTATATGAACCTATAGGTGTATATCTGACCATGCGTGCATGCATGCTCAGTCACTCAGTCGTGTCCAACTCTTTGTGACCCAGTGGACTGTAGCCGGCCAGGCTCCTCTGTCCATGAAATTTTCCAGGCAAGAATACTGGAGTGGGTTGTCATTTTCTCCTCCAGGGGATCTTCCTGACCCAGAGATAGAAACTGAGTCTCCTGTGTCTCTTGAATTGGCAGGCAGATTCTTTACCACTGAGCCACCCGGAAAGCCTATATCTGTATCTTTCTTGTGCTTATTTATATTAACATATATATATATATATATCATTATAACAATCTGGTAGTCGGCTAGGGGAGAAGTGGCGGGTTAAAGATTGACATGAGATTTTTCTAGAAAAAATTCTACTGTCAGATCCTCCTTGGCAAGCCAGGAAGGAAGATGTCCCCGAGGGAAACCACAAACTTCATAGGAAAAAGCAGGATTGTTGGGTGTGAGGACTTTTCATTTCAGTCCCACCTTTTTATGCAGGAGGCCTATTAAGTTAATGATTAAAGCCAAATTAGGATCAGGGTTATAAAAAATTAACTTTAAATTGAGTGATGTAGATTAAAGAAGACCTAATTCACTAAATTGAACTAGAAGGAACTAAACAAGGCAAGTTTTATTCACCAACTGTCTTTTTGTTTTAGTCATCTCTAATAAATATTTTGGAGAATTGGAAATAAATTAGTGTTGTTCTTCTATACTCGATCCAGAAACCCTATTGTTAGTGTTACTTTGAAGCACAATGTTAATAGGGATGATCCATTCTTATAAAATATTTTATAACCTCCCTTATAACCTCCCTTTGAAATAAATTGGAGAAGGAAATGACAACCCACTCCAGGACTCTTGCCTGGAAAATCCTATGGATGGAGGAGCCTGGCGGGCTACAATCCATGGGGTTGCAAAATCTGAGAGACTTCACTTTAACTTCACTTTGAAATGCAGAAATAATGCTAATACATGACCCTAATCAAAATACATTGCATCATCATTTCTTTATATTGCAAATATTGGTTTTGAAATTCCAACATACAACATGTACTCTTATTTGACTATTATGTATTCAAACTTGCTTT